TTCAGCATAACGTATAAAAGAAGCGTTGAGTTCCAAATGGAAATTAAAATAATTTGCCTCGCGGTTTCGGTTTGCAGACGACGCAGATTGTGGTGATTTCATGTTGTTGTTTTGCATAGGACGACTAAGAAATGTACAAAGTTTTAAAATGCACGTACTGAGCTATTGTTTTGCCAATTAGATCTTTTGTTTTTCCATGTCTTCGTTGCCGTCGCCGTCGTGGTTTGCCTAAGGGACCTCAGGAAACCACAGCGACGACAGCAACAAGGACATGGCAAAGCAAAAGATTTGATGAGTAGATCAAAAGCTCGGCACATTTTTTTCTAACATTGCATATTTTTCAGCCGACCTCTGCGAACTGCAAAATTGCAATCACCAATACTGATATCTGTATGGTCTGAAATCGTACACCCCGTCAGCGAATTATTAAGTGTCGATTTGGAACTCAACGCCACCAAAGGCTGCCCAAGCTCTTATGTACGTTGAAAACCTCGAAATACCAGTAGTGTATCTTAGTGTTTCACTGATCTTGCGCAATAACGGTCATGGCTTTTCTTATGTACGTTGAAAACCTCGAAATGAACAACTCGTTCAAATGGGCTCTTTTCATCAAAGTAAGCGGTCAGATAACAAGCAATACGCTGTGGAAGTAAGGTGAGGTATTTTGACGTATTTTTAATCCTTAGAGCGGTCGTAAATATTCCCATACAAACTCTTAAAATTCCGCCATGACCGTTATTGCGCAAGATGATCATCTCACAGCTGAAGCTTGGGTCGCCTGTGACGCCACTAGCGCCACACCGCAGCTTTAGTAAAACGTATGTAAATTACATGCGTTATGCTGAATCTGAAAGGAAAAGGTAAGTAGTTTCTACAACAACAAAAGAGCAGTTTTAGCATCCTTCATCAACATACATCTTAACCCTTTAACCCCTAAGAGTGACTAACATATAATTCCTCCTTACAATATCACCCTGAATCTCACATTAATGACATGAGAATAAAGGAAATGATCACCAAATTAAAAAACTCTTGATTTTTAAACAAATTCTCCTTGTCAGCACCTTGGTAAAAGTACAGAGAACAGTATGGAGAATATGAATACTGATGTTAGGGTGTAAAGGTTTAAAGCACCCACTATTATGAAGCCAAGTATCATGACATCATCTTGCCTGCACAGCTAAATTAATGTGTCAGTCAATCACAACGCTCCACAAACGCAACTCAGTTTAATTAATTAAAAACATTTTACATATGCCACTTTGAAAACAAAATAATGAAAATACTTTGAGTTAAAATGGAAATCTTAACTTTTCTAGAACTAATTTTCCTAACTTTTAACTATAGTTGTGACTTTGTCACGAAATAAAAAGTCGCTTAAGAGTACAAATAACGTTCGTATCGACATTATTTTTAATGAGCAAAACGACGAACTTCCGGGAAGATTATTTTGCTTGTCACGCAATTCTACTGCGGAAATAGGCCATTTTACAGTTATTTACTTCGTTGCCAAGTCTTTGAGTTGAAGTGAGGCTGAAGGTGACCTCGTTGTGATAAAGATTAGTATCTAGTTGGCATGATAACAAAGTAATTTATATTTGAAAAGCAGCAAGCTTTGTATCATAACAAGGTCACGCTTAGCCTCGATCCTGTTCAAAAGCTTGGCAACCAAGCACGCAACTGTAAAATGGGCTTATTGTAGCTTAAATGTCGAGAAATCGACGATTGTGTCAGAATCTTACGATGCGCTATAACTTTTCTCTAATTCTACTCTAGTGTATTAACAGTTCTAAGCAAAATTGCCCACTACCATGCAAATAGACTATGTCTTTATATGGACGAGTTGCTTCTTAATCCAAAGACAAAGATGTTTGCTTTCATGTTGCCTCGCTTCAGACATCTCAGTACTTGACCGGTCCAGGAGGCGGCATCGAAACGGCTTGTCCATGTACCTGAGCTGAATGATACGGGTTTGGACCGGGTGGTGGATAAGCGGGTGGAGGCTGGTTGTAGCTTCCAGGCGGTGGATACTGCACAACTCCTTGCTGCGTCGTGCAAGTGGTCGACACGAATTGCTGATACGGCGGCTGGCTTGTCACAATCACAGTACCGGGCGTATGATAGCGGTAATACGGACAACAGGCACAGCAACAGCAGGATACGATGGAAATGATGATAGCAAAGAAGATTATTGTACCAATTACAGCGCCTGCAATGCTTCCTGTCGTCCAAACACATGAATCAAGACATTCGCCACCGCAGCAAACCTCCAAACCAGGACATTCGTTATTTCTCGAGCAGGAAAAATAACAATAATCCCTGCAAATGCCATCAGAACAACAGTATTCAGCTATCCCACAGTTGCTATCGAAATCGCAGGACATAGCACCTTGCAATCCAAAGAAAGAGACCAAAAGAACGATAAAAAATCTCTTCGGCGCCATTGTTACAAAGCGAAAGACGACGTGTTGGAGCAGACTTGAAATGAAAGAGAATGTGGGTGCGGTTGGCTCGCGTCCAAAGTTTATCTCCGCCTACTTCCCTTTTGTCATTCTGACGTGACATATAAACAATAGCTATGTCTGCACGTCTCGGTTCAAGGATTTGACCGCGATTAGTGTTTTTGTCATTTCCGTTACACTCTATTTTCACCTCTTTTATTTTTGAAGGGAGGGGGGAGTTCAGCACTGTAGAGTTATTCCCAAAATTGCCTCATAAAAGGATTCTTTTTCATTTTTATCTTACCATTAACATTCGAAAATCAATTGATTCGACTCTAAGGAATATTTTCTAGCCCATTTCGGAAGTTGTATGACTGAACTGAGCATTAGCCGAGATGAGAATGTAAATTGCATGACCACCTTAAAGCCTGAGATAGCCCTTCAAATTAAAGAGAGTGTTTTGTGTCTTGTTCTAACTGTAGATGTTTTCCAAGAGAACATAAATTGTTTATTTATATTTTCTTGTGTTCACTCAATGGTTTCTCCTACGAAGCAAACGGCAGGTTTAAGCAATTTTCGATATAGATACGAACTTCCCGGCTTGAAGTGCACAAAGTACCATTATTAAAATTTGTGATCACCATATTTCAAAACTTTACCAGTAGTTGGAGACTAGTTGTACCACATATAAAATATTTGATTGTAATGTTTGCTGTGATATCAATGCGCGTGATTTTCGCGTCAAAGGTAGGATTTCATGGTCATCAGCCTCCTTTGATTCAAGGGACTCAAGAAGACGGTAAGGCTTACTATAATTTGCGAAACGAAACGAAACGAGATGAAAATCTGAATATTTTCATTTCTAGTAAAAAATTTCTATTTTGCAAATCATAAGCATATTTCCATTTCGCAATTACAGATTTCTACTTTTAAAATCACTAGCATATTTCCATTTCGCAAATTACAGATTTCTAAATGGAAATATGCTAATGATTTGCAAAGTAGAAATCTGTAATTTGCGAAACAAAATTATTCTGGGACTCAGGGGAAGAAAATAAAAGAGCTTGGGTCTGTTACGTTTTCCCGGCAAATATGATATTTCATCTAGTAATATGCTGCGATACTCAGTGCAAATGCTAATTGGTAAACGAGAATCCATCTTAAAAGATATTGGATCTTTCATGGGTGATAGCTGATATCTGGTAGAGCGTGAATCTTCAACGAGACCTTCAAGGATAATTAATTATTAAGTAATACTCATTTCCTTAGCGACAGCTCGACAGTACACTTCTCAGTTTTCCTTTATATCATTATTCAACGAGTCAACAAGAGGACTGGGTGTGAGTCTCAACATCTATACCCAGATTTCTTGATTTCAACGCGGTCAGCGATATACGCCTGCGCAATACAGTATCGGTCTCTTACGCCATCGTGCAGATCAAATCATCCTCGTGTTTAGCGACGGAAAAACTCTTTTATGACATTTTACCTGGAATTCTATTCACTACTGTTTAAGATTATTACTAACTGGTAAGTTTAAATGAACTGTCGCTTAAAAGTTAGTTTGAAGTGCCGAAAACCTCTTCCAATACCGTGTTCAAAATTATCCCATGTTCTCGAATCGAAGAAGCATGCTGTCCCTGTAGCACCATGTTCTCGTACTATCGATCTGTATAAAGATTTCTTTTTCTGTAGAAGTTGAGGAAGGAATCCTTGTGATAAATGCTAACAGAAGGACTCGTGTTATCGATATCTGTAATCCAGTGATTAATGATCTTACAAAACGATCACTTCTTAGCTGATGGTACTGTACGTACCGTAGATATTGTTTTTTCCACATCTGATGCGTATTCGATTTTGTTGGGCGTATAAATTTAAGTCATAAGTATTCGGAAATAGCTCACCGAAGGTGGGATTTTTGAACAAGATTTTGTCATCCTGTGTAATACCTTAAATTGCTTTTGTATTATTGTGGTTATAAATGGACCTCTTTAAATCGTATTTTTTTTTTAAACAAGGGTTTTCTGAGAGACAGAAAATAGCTCTTGTGGGTAACAAAATTTACGCGACGATGGCTGGGTTTTTTTTAAAACATCAAACAAAATGTAGCGGTAAATTTAAGTACAAACCACTTGTACACAGTTTATTGAACTGCACCACTGTTCGTTGTGTTATTTTTAGTTGTCCAAAGACTGTTGACATCGACAAGATGGACCTCAGTAACCCTGCTTTCTATAGTTGCTCCAAATTTCACACTATAGACGTTTTTGTTTTCATTTACAGAGTAACTTTTCTATTTATATATAATCCACTCTGGATGATCCATACTTGGATGAACCCTGCAGCGTAAGGGGCATGAGTAAGGGTGAATAACTAAGTGGAGATGAATCTGCATTGCGCTACAGGCACCATTTGGATGAAATCTTTTTCAGCAAAGTACTGGATAATTACTTTGCTTGCTTGTTTTTCTGAAACTTTATGCCAAGGCTGTCCAAAGCCTTGAGTGTTATCTTTAATTCCTAATGGTGAAAGAAATTTTTAAAGCTTTTGATGTACACAATGGTCTGCTTACTTACAGCAGAAGAATTGGTAAAATGTTCCACAGAAGTAAAACTTGTTCATTTATTCTCTTAAATGTGGTATGAGTTTTGGAATAGAATTGTGCTTACTGAGAGAGGAAGAGGGGAGAAAGTAAACCTCATCCAAGACATTTAGAGCATGGTTGGCCAGGGGCTTTTTAGATGAGCAATATTTTAAGAAAGAAAATACATTTGTGAGTAATATGAAAGTTCTGATTTTTTCGACAGACCAGTATGAACCAAGAAAAGTTATCAAAATTAAAAAGTGGAGTTCAAATAGGAGGAAAGGTGAGATGTTTATTCAGGTACATCTACACTGTCAAGAATCCAGACATTACAAAAATGAAAAACAATTTAACAGTAGCAGCCAGATAAGTTACTGGTGCTTCAGAAGCAAGTAGCTGGTTACAGTGCCAGCTGCTGGTGCTTCTGGAGAAAGATGAGATGTTTATTCAGGTACATCTACACTGTCAAGAATCCGGTAACCAGTCAACTCGCCGACGGACCAACTCGCCGACGCCAACTCGCCGACGTATAAAATCGAGTAGAGACGTCGGCGAGTTGGTCGTCAATCCAATACAACTTATTAGAAGTTAAACATACAGAGAAGTAAACGATATTTAGTAAAAAAAACACTGGCGAACATTGGTGAACATCAAACAGAAGCTTAAACATCGGTGAACATTGGTGAACATCACCAATGACTATAACGAACGAGTTATTGTGCGACAACAACACCGTAAAGACTCATCTTGTCAATCGCTCAGATTTTTTAACGAAAACTTGGCTTTCTAGACAAGATCTTTAGTAAAATGCAATTGTTTTTATTTGCAACAAAGTTTATAAGGATCTTAAGGCGAATAAAGCGAAGTAAACCTCACCAACAACTCTAACAGCTTCAGACGCGAACGAGTTATTGTGTGACAACAACACCGTTAAGACTCAGCATGTCAATCGCTCAGTTTTTTTAACGAAAACTTGGCTTTCTAGACAAGATCTTTAGTAAAAAGCATTTCTTTTTATTAGGCAATTACAGAGTAAGGTGTTTGGATTATGGGAGAAATATGAAAATGGTGAAAGAACAGCGGCCCAATTATTGAAATCGATGTCGAGATTAAACGGACCTACAAGAGCAGAGTAATTGCATGATATACATTACTTTCACATGTTCATCTGATCTTTATAATAAATGGAATTTTATCGTTTTTATCGTAAATCAAACGTTCTCGATCATGAATAAATCTTTCTTTAAAGTTAAAAAAAAAAACATGTGGTTCCGCGTGGTTGCTATGGTTGTCACACAATAACTCGTTCGCGTCTGAAGCTGTTAGAGTCATTGGTGAGGTTTACTTCGCTTTATTCGCCTTATGATCCTTATAAACTTTGTTGCAAATAAAAAGAAATGCTTTTTACTAAAGATCTTGTCTAGAAAGCCAAGTTTTCGTTTAAAAATACTGAGCGATTGACATGATGAGTCTTTACGGTGTTGTTGTCACACAATAACTCGTTCGCGTCTGAAGCTGTTAGAGTCGTTGGTGAGGTTTACTTCGCTTTATTCGCCTTAAGATCCTTATAAACTTTGTTGCAAATAAAAAGAAATGCTTTTTACTAAAGATCTCGTCTAGAAAGCCACGTTTTCGTTAAAAAATCTGAGCGATTGACATGATGAGTCTTTACGGTGTTGTTGTCGCACAATAACTCGTTCGCGTCTTAAGCTGTTATAGTCATTGGTGATGTTCACCAATGTTCACCGATGTTTAAGCTTCTGTTTGATGTTCACCAATGTCCAATGTTTTTTTACTAAATATCGTTTAATTTTCTGTATGTTTAGCTTCTAATAAGTTGTATTGGATTGACGACCAACTCGCCGACGTCTCTATTCGATTTTATACGTCGGCGAGTTGGTGTCGGCGAGTTGGTCCGTCGGCGAGTTGACCGTAAACCAAGAATCCAGACATTACAAAAATGAAAAACAATTTAACAGTAGCAGCCAGATAAGTTACTGGTGCTTCAGAAGCAAGTAGCTGGTTACAGTGCCGGCTGCTGGTGCTTCTGGAGAATCTAGGAAACCACCTTATCCTGGCCACATGGGATGAGAAGGAAGAGGAATTTTAAGAGGTGATATGATGGTGTGAAAGAAGAGATTTAATTTTGAGAATGTTAAATTGATCATGCTACAATGTAAAGCATGACAATCATAAGGAAGCAAGGAGTATATCAGTTGGCACATTGGTTATTTTCTATGTTCAGGTGCAGACTTACAGCACAGTTGATTTTTTGTGTGTTGACAGCACTGATGTAATATAGGCAAGACTGATCAAAGGTACTATAGTTTTGCATACCGGGGAAAAAATAAAAGAAAGAAAGGCAGTGGGTCTCTCTGATGTAGTTGCTTTGGCAGCTGAGCTATTCTCCAATGGCTTTTACCAATAGGGAGAGAGCCTGAAGGTAGACTTAACACCCTGTTTCTGTCGTCAGAGCAAAACCTGGCTACGACAGCTTTCAACATCAATTTATCCATATAAGCTGCAGGAAAAAAAAAAGTGCGTAACATTTAAGTTAACTTTTTTAGGGCACACCCAGAAGAAAAAAGAAGATAGTTCACAGAACAGCTGGAGCAGATGATAAGAAACTCCAGAACACCCTCAAGAAGCTTGCTGTGAACTCGATTCCTGGAATTGAAGAGGTAAATTTTGATTAATTATAATGGTTGCCACATGTAACAAGTAGCTTGTAGTACATTCACCTTGCTTCTTTTATGCATCAACAAAGTTAGATCAATTTCATTCTCATTCTTGATATCACTGATGGTCCATTGCAAGTGATAAGTTGGATCAGGTATGAGAAAATTTTTTTTTTTTTTCATCTGTTACAATGTTCCAATTACTTGTCCTTTGCAGGTAAACATGATTAAGGATGATGGGTTTGTCATTCATTTTACTAATCCAAAAGGTAATTATCGGAATTTATTGAACTAACTCCTGATAACTGGAATCTTTCACTTTCTCAAAGTAACAAGGATTCACACTGTGTGTCTTGCATGCATTAAGTGCAATTTTACCCAAATATTTTAAATCCTCTACAATGGGAAACTCTTGCTAACTCAATTTTACCCTTGGAGTTTTTTTTTCTTTTCTGGCTGTTGCTTTGTTTAACAGCAAAAGTGTTCATTTGGTTTTTAACTCTCCTCTCTGTGGTACACCTTAAATATGCATTGTTTGGATGGCAGTTAATCATTTTTATCCCACAAAATTTGTCACTTAACCCTTCAACTCTATGAAGTGATAAACATGTACATGTAATTTCTCCCTATTATATCCTCACATGTACATACATCATCTAGCAAACAGGTACTCAAATTTATTGTGTAGAATTTGTTATCTTGATGTAACACCAAATTCTCACAACTAATTTACAAGGAAATGTGTAGCAACAAGAGGGAAGAATAAGCAATCCATGTAACATTGAATTGTTGTACTTCTCCTAGTGCAAGCTTCCCTGCAGTCAAACACTTTTGCTGTGGTTGGTCAGTCTGAAACTAAATGTGAGTATAATGACAGACTAAGTTTTTTATTGTATGTGCTTTACTTTTGCAAGACTATGGGACTGAATGTGATGGGTGTAACACAAAACTGTTCTCGCCTACAAATTTCCTTGATCAAGTGATGGATTGTTCATAAAAAAAAAGTTATGTGTGTAGTGATGTTATCAAAACAGTTCATTATTATTAATGTTACTTGCAGTAAAATGTATGTGTACACCAGCCATAACATGAATTATAATCTTGTATGACTAATATAATTTTTTGTGCTTGTCTCTCAGCAATTGCAGAAATGCTTCCTGGAATTTTGAATCAGTTGGTAAGTACACTTGTATCCTTGTACATGTACTCCTTAGAGCTAGTCTTTGGTTAGACAAGGAGTAGTCCTTGCCACTTGGAAAAGTCTGTTTTGCAAGTGCAAAAAGAATCATTATAAAAAAAAAAAAAAAGATTTGTGCTCACTGCTTGGAACTCTGGAAGAGAGGTGCACCAACATCATTTCTTTTTTTACTCATGTGACAGACCTTGCTGAAATGGAGGGTGTGCTTGTAGTTTAGTCTTTTGTAAGCTTTTTAAAGTTTCTCTAGAGAAACAGATACAGATATCATACAAACATACCTGTTTAAGTTTAATACATTACACCTGTCACTAATCATGGCTGATTGTTAACTGTTTAACCCCTTTGGGTGGCTGGCTTCTAATTTCTCCATACAATGTCACTCTTGAGTCAAATACAAAGGTCATGAGAATAAAGGAAATGATCACCGTTATAAAGAGGTCTTAAGTTTCAAAACAAATTCTCCTTGTCAGTATCATCAGAAATGCAAGGAGAACAGTCTGGAGTGTATGAGTTCTACTGATAGGGAGTCAAAGGTTACAAAATGCACTAATATGATTACTTTTCTCATTACCAGAGTAGTGAAGGTCTGACCAATTTGAGGAAGCTGGCAGAGAAATTCCCAAGTGAGTTAAAGATATCTGATAAGTAACTGCTTACAGTATCTCTAAAGTGGAGGTGGCTAGTGATATTTACCCCTGTGATATTTACCCAGTGGTATTTACCCAGTGATATTTACCCAGTGATATTTACCCAGTGATATTTACCCAGTGATATTTACCCAGTGATATTTACCCAGTGATATTTACCCAGTGATATTTACCCAGTGATATTTACCCAGTGATATTTACCCAGTGATATTTACCCAGTGATATTTACCCAGTGATATTTACCCAGTGATATTTACCCAGTGAACCACAAAGCACTGAGGTAACTAACCACCAATAGAAACTGACACTGATGTAAATAGTTTTTTTAGTGTATACTAAAATAGTGAGATAATATAGACCAAAAAGATGATGTTTATTCATTTATTCCTGAAACAATTATGATATTTTGGGGTGCAAATCCTGCCACGTTGCCTAGAGGTAAATAGTAAAAGATATTCAGAGTTGTAGTAGCCAATCAGAGCTTGCCTTCAACATTATCCACTGTTTTAGTGGGAGCTAAAATATTTTTGTTAACCCTTAAACTCCCAAGATCTGGATGTTAAGTCTCCCCTCTAGCTGCCACACAGTCATTTCCATGTAAATTGGTTATGAGAATTTGATGGGAGATCAAAAGGACAACTTCAACCTGATAAGTTTGAGTATTCTCATTACCAGATTGGGTGATAATGTGTGAATATTACAGGGAGAAATCACATGTTAATCACTTCTGGGAGCTAAAGGGTCAAGAGATGAAGGGAAACACAAAAGCAGCAATTGATAAAATCACCATTAAAACAGGATGCCTATATGTAGAGAAGATTTAAACAGTTTGGGAAAAAAATGATTTTACAACCTTCATGTGGGTTGCATTTCTATAGATGTAGAAACCATGACTAGTGTAGGTATCTCAAATGTTGAATCATTTGCTGTTGTTAGAATAAAAGTATTCCTATGGAGCACTGAATAACAAACAACAATTTCAAATTAAACTGAATGTTGGGCTTGTGTCTCTTTTGACTTGGAATAGTTAGCCTTAATAACTTACATATAGGTACTTTCGCATGGAAATCTTGACAGCTATGTACTTGTAACTGAGTAGCTGTTTTGCTGTTTCACTTTTAGCAGCAACAGATGGTGCACATGTCCCAACTCATACTGAGGAGGTTGACGATGACGATGTCCCAGGTGAGACATTGCTCCTTTTTTCATTTACTTTATTGCAAACCAATAAACTAATAACCAGGGGAAAAAAATTTTGAACCACCTGGCTGAGGGTTAGAGGGTGAAAACTTCCCTCTTGCTGTACTCAGCTATTTTCACCTTTTGGCATTCTTGAATTTCTCTCAGGCTTCTGCCTATTTCTTTTCACTCTTCAGAATATCTCTGGTTTGTAATAGGGACTGGTTTTTCAACAATCTTAGCATTTCTGACATTTAGATAACCTTAACTTCTGCTGACCTCCTCCAGGTCAGTCTCACTGTGACGACTAATTATCACTCAGATAACCATGTTCTCTGAGCTATCAAGACATGAAATGTAGGGCTGACAGGAGAGGGGAATTGATATGAAGATATTAGGAGTTCAAAGGCTAACTGCATTCTCTTACTCATTGTGATATTCTTTTCATCCACAGAGCTAGTTGAAAATTTTGATGAGCCCTCAAGGCAGAGGGAGTCTAAAAAGATCCCAGTGTGGAAGACCAAATCTAACAACTGATGCTACCACACATATGCTGACCGCAAGTAATAAACAGACTCTGTGGCCTGCTTTTTCATTGTATATGTAATAGTTAACAAGACAATTTTTTGTGGTGTCCTATACACTCTTTGTGTTGTTTGATATGCCAGCAATTTATTGGGCTGTCAATAAAAGAATGGGAACTTGCTTTATGGAGTGATGGTTTTTCAGCATAAATTGAATTACTTGCATGCATTCCATGTTTACGATACAGCATTGGTTTTTTTTTTAGAGGTGTTTTTTTTCATGTAATTATGAAGCATGTGTTTGGACACAGCTATTGGGATCTCTCAGCCCAAATCCCTCTTAATCCTTTAACACTCAGATCAAATTTGTAATTCTCCTTACTGTTCTTACTGTTAACCATACAATTCTTATGATGTTAGTTCAGAGAATTTAGTATTGGATCAACTTATTATCCCCAAATTGATTTTTTTTCTTTTTTCTCATCAATTATCTGGTTGATATTGTGCTGATATTGTAAGGAGAAATTCTGTCTTGGTCACCCATGGAAGTTAACCCTTTCACTCGCACAAGTGACCAAGACAGAATTTCTCCTTACAATATCAATACAATATCAAGCAGGTAGGTGATGAGAATAGAGAAGAATATCAATTATGGGATTATTAGTTGATCCAATACCAAATTCTCTGAACTAACATCATACGAATTGTATGGCAGATAGTAAGGAGAATTACTAATTAGATCTTGGAAGTGAAAGGGTTAAGGGGTTAAAAGTGGTTTGGGGCCTCCCAGGAACTTAGGTCGTGTGGATAATAATATGTATGCTAAAATGTCAGCCTGCTTATTGCTTTGAGAACACCTTAATTGATCGCAAACAATGCAGAAAGTTGAAACTGAGTGCAGTAGGTTGAAATTACTCTAAATAGATTGGCAGGAAAGTTGCGAAGGCTCAACAGAACAAAATGGCGAACAGGTTAGGAGAAAGTAATAACGACTTTATCATGAACAAAAACATCCAAGAGAGCACATATAACTGGCTTAAAGTCTGGAAGTCTTGGTATTGTGTTGTTTGATATGCCAGCAATTTATTGCGCTGTCAGTAAGACAATAGGAACTTGCTTTAAGGAATTATGAAGCATGTGTTTGGACACAGCTACTGGGATCTTCTCAGCATGACTAAGACGTTAGCTGCAAGACTTCCAGACACGGTTACGACAGAAGTATTGAAACACAGGAACCGGAGTGCCTGAACAAAATTCTCTCGGAGTTACCACAATGGTTCGTACGAAAGATGGGAATTAAATTGCGGGCGTAATAGCATTCGTGTTCTAGTCAATGCAAATTCTAGCTGACAAAGTATTTATCACCCAATTTCTCCTGACAGAAGGTTTAAAAGCTCGAAGCAAATACTATCGGAAAAAACCCCGCAAGCAAGCTAGGTGTCCGTATCTCGAATGTATCGATTAATCGACGGGCCCGAAGCCAAATGTAAATTTAGGAATGAATACTGAAATCAAAATACCATGTTATTTGAATTATAGTGGATTGCTCTAAGAAAGTGGCCGCTTGATGGATACCCCAGGCAACGAAAAGTTATATCGAAATTATACTGTTAACAAATTGCGAGGATGAAATGTCTCTTATCAGACTTTAGATCTTAATAGCACCGTACCCTGCACGAGGTAAGAGGTTTCTTTGGTACTATGCTATCAACACTTCTCCGTTCTCCTTTACCTCCAGCGAATAGCAGAAAAACAGTTTTAAACCTTGATCTTACTTAATTTAATTTCAAAGTAAAGGCGGAGGACGAGGTTTTATCATACAATGGAATGGATTATTCGGACCATTTTCTAGACCAAAATTCCGTCACAACCGCGGAAGGTTTTATCTCAGAGAAGGCTTAAAATTTGATGATTTTTTTCTTTTACTATTTTAAGAATAACATGGCCGACAAACTAATCCAACATAAGCTGAGGGCGAATATTAAGTGACCTTAAACGTCTTGTTGTTAGTTGGGTGGAACTTCTGCAAATCGTATGTACTGCACATCCTATTTCGTAATAAACCGGGCGGACCCTGCGCACGCTTTGCTAGTTATGGCGGAGCTCGCAGTGCGCGCAGCATAGCCTTATACTTATAAAAATAGTAATGACAGCAACCCATCAGCCGAAAACTTAGGTATGACCGCACGTCCGTACCTATAATGTACTACTTTTGACATACGCCGCCAGTTGCATTTGTGGGCTACTGGAAACACGATAAATGGAGGGGATTTCGTAAGTAGAAGCGAAATGGTGAAGGTAATGCGCAGGCATTATAGAAAAATTTGTGATAAATGATCGACGAAAAAAGCTGCTTGTTTGCCTTTCATTGGGGAAAAGGAAACTGGAAAAATGGAAATAGAAACTCTGTCTACTGCCCTAAAATTTGAAGTCAGATGTGACACGGTTGTTGTATTGAGACCTAGCCGGACCTGCACCTGTCGACAGCTGAAGTACGAATATTGGTTCAGTCCCAAAAAGAACTGAAAGTGTTCACGGTAAAGGGTTTACGAACGGACGCTGAAATTGTGGTGTGGCGCTGCAAGAGACGGTAAACGCTGACTCCTAACGTAAATTATAAATTCACTTTTAAATCGACATCTTTCCCGGCGTTGCTGTTCTGACCTCCTAAGGTCTCTAGCGCGTTTCTTCGCTCGTGGAATAGTATGAGGCCTTAAGCAACCCGATCTTGCGAGAGGTCCGCAGAGGGTCTAGCGCTGATTATTAAAGCCAGACCCTCCGTAACCCTCTCCCCGACTCGTCTCAGTCTTCACGCGTGCAGAGAGACGCGCGTCCTGTATTTTAGCAAACCAACATCCACAAACCAAACGACAGTCGAAAATATTTATTTAGTGGAAGATAATTTCAGTAACAATAAAAATCAAACAGCAATAGAATTGTACATTAAATAATTCTAAATCGTTAAGATAATTTATAGAATAAATCTCTTATGTACAAAAATTGATACACGAACAATTTGCGCCTTTGGCGACTTCTGTTTTCATAGTATTGACAGCTCAACTACGCTCGAGATTAGGATGGAAATTTAACTTCAAACTTTACTTTGTTGGTCTTTAAGACCACTCCCTAAAAAAGCAATGCAGGAAATGGTTGCTATTCGAAACTCCTGTTAGATAATAAATCGGTTTTCACGACATAATAAACGTCGAGGTAAACCTAAAATAAAAACGATGAAACAGTAGTAAACCAAGTAATAACTATCCTGTCAACGAAAATAATTACTGTGAAAACCGAAACAAAAAAAAAAAAAGGTGACGACGCTTATTACAACTACGGTACGATACTTCAAATCACTTTGCGCATTTAGAATAATATGAGTGTCTAAAGGAATCAGGAATTGTTTTGATTTTTCGGCTTCACTGCATGTGACAACTCAGCGGTCAAACGTAAAGTATGCGCAAGTGGTTCAATCTTGCGCAGCCGCGCGTCAATTTCCCGCGAAAATGTTGAAAGAAAACATAAGAAACGACCGCTGTCAAGCAAAACATGCACGAAAAAGCGAAACGTTCAGGGAAATTTGTAAAACAAAAACAAAAAATTGGGAAGGGGAAAACTTGACACTTTCAAACACGAGGCTTATTAAATTACGGAAATTCTGTTGATTCAACACTTTGCTTTGAACTTTACCTAAAAAGCAATACGGTTTTAAAACACCGTGGATAACTGACTTGTGTCGTTGTTTGTTACTCCTGGAAGACAAATCGTTATGACTTAGCTATCCCTACTACTCTCTCTAGACTTTAACGGTCATCTCCTCCGTGTCAGGACAATTTGAATAATTTGTTCATAGTGCTTTTGAGAAAAATACAATGCAGTTGTCAATCAAGATCATATTTTCCATTTTGCTTTACAAAGTCTCTCACGTTCTGCTTTCACAAGACGCAGCATGTGTTACGTGGTCGCTTTTCCTTTCGTCAAGGGGTCTTGATCAACTTGCATCCATTCTATGAGCCTTCCAAAAAGGGCTCCTAACTAAGGTTGTTTGTCAGATAAGAATCAGTATTTCCGCTGCGTACATGGTTGTACTTGAGAGACCGTTGAGGTCCTAAAGTGGCTTAAAAGTGTCGCAGAGAAGAGGTGCATTATCAGATGACGTATTCATGTCCCTTAACTCAGAGCCACTAGCCTCGCACTCGCTTTGGAAACTAAATTCGCTGTTTCTCCTGGTTGGAGAACGTGCACTAAGCTGAAAATTAGCACTGTTATCAGGAAGGAAGAACGCCAATAGAAGAGAAAGAATAACAGAGCCAGCGCCGAATAGAAACGGTGCTCCAGATACGATTGTCTGCGGAAAAAACATTTACAGCAAGGTAAAAAAGAATGATTTTCTCCTCTGACAGTACCTGCTTTACACATATCCCTATGGCGATGAAGAGGGAAATTTACTATACAACTGAGAACCTCTTCTATTCTTGATCATTTCTTTTGTTCAGGAGTTATACTATATGTATGATACTGTATTTGCAGGTCATGAGAAAGACGAAAACG